AAATCAGAGCACACGGGCCTACAACATTTCCGCCTCCATCGGAAATGCAGCCGCCGCAGCCGGGATTTGAACCCGCGACCTGCTGGTCAGCAGTCGAGTACCTTAGCCACTAGACCACTGTGGGGCATAAACTAGCTACCTCGTCTTGTCTTTGCATCCAGGTAAATAAGCATCCTTATACTCAAAAGAAGTGAGCATCGATGTAATATGTTCTAGGTTTTAGAAGGGTTGTTGCCCAATTTTCGCACCTGTATCATGTAGAGTTGTGGCAAATCTCTGCATGAAAACGCAGACAGTTTTATGAATCGTGAGAATAAGCCTATGAATTTTGAGGATGTCTGCCGGTGCTCACTAAGTAGCCATACTTTAACCAAACATAACATAATAACTTTCAAGCTATAATTAATATTGTGCTGGTTCAAAATAGTTGCCATCTGTGACAGTTGTGCACATATTGCGTACCTTAAAAAGGGTGAGTTGGCGTCTGATGACGTCCGGCAGAAGGTCCACCATTTTGTTAAATTCCATGCGGTGGTTACGCGGAATTCGATAATGGTGTAGATACAGGAATGATGATAAATAAGGTGCTATTCAACCCAGCCCAAATAAACGCTTATGCTTCACACTAACCGCGAGAACAGCCCGTCACAGAAAACCCCTCGGCACCCTCTTCCTCACTCCCTCTTCCACCACCCCCTAAAAAAGAAGTTTGCGTTTATTTTTAAGGCCGCATTGCTCAAGCCCGCAAAACATTCATGATTTTCGCAAAAGGTTGAAATCATGATATCATCTTTGTCATGGTAATTGTCATTTACCTATTTATGCACAATACACCTGCGCCATCCGTGCAAAGTAATGGCTATCCGCTTCTTTTCTAAAGTTTGATTTATTTCCCCAATGAAGTAATTGCTATTCATTGATATATGGGGTTTACCGTCCCAAAGCCCCCTCCATGAAGTAAGGGGACAAAATCGATAAACCGCAAGTATAGAGACACGCTGCCGCCTCCCAACGGTTTCGCTATCCCAATTATTTGGCCTCCTCTGCCCCCATTCTCTGATTTCTTCTGCTTCCCTTATCTCTTATTTTGAACGTGGTTTGATTGTATTCACCGTCAGAAGTGGGTGAAAGTGAACACCATAAACACCGTTAGAACGAGCAGTTATAAATAAACACTGTAGTCGGGAACTTGGCTCTGACGACATCACTTGTTCGAGCCTATATTTATTGTGGCAGTCTAAATTCGCGTGAACCATTGTCTTCTTCAGAAAACTTGAAAGAACAGACATTTCGGCCAAACTTTATTGTAAAGCAAGTAAAAGTGCAACCAGATGTATTATGATTAGGAGACATGCCATTCAAGATACTGCAGGCACAAGGGGCATATTATGTTGTTACAAATCAGTGCTCAACAAAGAGCGTGCCTCCAAATTCTGACCGCAACGTGAAAACGAGGTGCTGGGCAGACGCGACAGAAGCCAGCGTAAAGAAGAAACAAGCTTCAAAAGGACGCCCGCGCGCGCCGCCTTAGCCATGCCGACCAACCTCCTCGGATATATCAAAAGGCAAACTCCAGAAACATTTTGGAGAAAATGAGCGTGGTCCTGCAGAGTTGCGTCACATAACGAGAAAGGTCTCGCCCTTTCCATGGCCTTGGCTTTGTGGCGCACCGACGAAATGCCTGGAAACTTCGGGAACTGGGCGGCTAGAGTATATATATAACCTGCAGTGGAAGGAGTCGCATCAGGAAATGAAGAGGTTTCCCACCTGCGGGTGAAGGCTTGTCCTACAAGCAGAAGAGTGCGTGTTTATCATCCGCGGACGAAGACAGGTTCCGAGTCGCAGCGCGTGAGTGGCCGACGCGTTACTGGCGAAGACGTTTTGTTATTGAAGTGCGGTCAGTTGACGACGCGAGAGTTTCCTGGGAAAGAAACTGCGGGAGCAGCGGGATTACAACCACCGCTGGTCTTTGAGTGAGTGTTTCCTCAAAGAGAAGCATTCAAGTTTTGTTCTCAAAACTGGCCTGAATACGTTTGACGAACATTTTAGTCTACAAGTGTCATGGCTAGTTAATGCAAAAAAATTGCACTGTAGCGTGTGTTGTTGTTTGCGCCTGTTGTATTCACTGCATGTTGTGATGTGAAGCCCATTGTTCGGAGTATTTTGTGTTGGTGATGAATTGTATTGGATTATCGCCAGATGTGTGCAGGTTGGTGTGTTATTGGTTCTGCCTTATCTGAGAATATATTTTCGTTTTGTTATCAACTCTCGGCTCTGCCTAGCTTTTTGTACTACAGCTGATGTTCTCTGGCGCACTAAAAGAGACCAATTCCAAGTTGTTCGCACTTTTGTGGTGCGTTTCGGTGAGGGGGGCGTCATATTCGCTCTTGGAATCAGCCCCGCAATCGCCTCCCTAATTACTGAACCAGTGACATATGTTCCCGTCTGATCTCGCGGGAGTTTCATTACGAAACACCAGTATACGTTTTGCCTGACGCCAGCTGCACAAATGTGGCGAAAGTAGCCGTCGTAGCATTCTTAGAAGACACTTGGCTGGATGCATGCCTTTAGAGTTACTCCAGTATAACAAGTCCATATCCCCCTCTCCCTACCTTACTATCGTTATTCATCACTCACCCTGTCACCCTTCGCCTTTGCGTAGTAGCATGCCAGAGCACATTGTAGCTCAGGCTGACCTCTCTACCTTTCTTTCAATATTTTTCTTCCTCCCTGTAAATAACTTGAGTCCAAAGAGACTGGAGATGTGACGTGTGTTGCTCGCCATTGCAAGATTGAGGGGAATCGGATCTACCTTCCTTTTCAGCCCATGTATTTTCAGTTAAGCCCTAATCGTTTATTATTTTAATATCGCGAAGATGGCATTGCCAGGAGAAATCGCGGTAGCTGTCGGAACAATATTGTTGTACGTTTAGAGCAACAACCCTAATTACACATCAGGTCCAGGAGAATTATGTGTCTTCAAGAGGGCCTCAGAGAGGCCGTTTTTAAATGCAAAGCATTTCTTAGCGAACTTTGGCGACTTGGTCGTATCTATCTATCTATCTATCTATCTATCTATCTATCTATCTATCTATCTATCTATCTATCTATCTATCTATCTATCTATCTATCTATCTATCTATCTATCTATCTATCTATCTATCTATCTATCTATCTATCTATCTATCTATCTATCTATCTATCTATCTATCTATCTATCTATCTATCTATCTATCTATCTATCTATCTATCTATCTATCTATCTATCTATCTATCTATCTATCTATCTATCTATCTATCTGGCCATCCCGATAATGGGATTTATGATATGGCATAACATGACTGTATGGCGAGCATAAGTAACTAGTCATAACATGAAGATTACGACATGTGTGCCATTATTCTCATGATTTACATGTCTTGGTCCTCCTGCTCTTGCGGTCGTTTCATTCGCATGACATATTTTGGTATGATATGACACGGCTCTATGCCGAACATAAGTGACAGGCCCTAATATGCAATTCTTGACATGCATGTCATGTAAGGCACGACTACACGCCTACTTTTACGTGGTATTACGTGACGGTATTTGGTATTACGTGACGCGAAGGGACGACGAAGGTATATGACTCGTTCAAACATGATACTCATGATATGCGTGTCATGTATAACACGACTACATGCAGCGCTCATATACCAAATTTGGTTTTACGTGACGTGACTAGACGACGAAGGTAAATGATACATCCAAACAATATAGTAATGACATATGAGTCATGTAAAACATGAATACATGCATGCTACGCTCATGGTGCGCTCGCGGCCGTTTTGTTAGCTTCACAAATGCCAAATTTAGTTTTACGTGATGCGAATGGATGACGAAGGTGAAGGACTGGTGCAAAAATAATAATCATGGCATTCGTGTCATATGAGAAGATGTACATACGACGCTCATGATGCTCTCACGGCCGTTTCGCTATCTCTACATATACCGAATTTGGTATTCCGTCACGTGAATAGAAGGCGAAGGTTACTGACACGTCCAAACTTGATGTCTACCACTGCTGGTTCTGGTATTGCAAAAGGGGGGGGGGGGGGTGCCCGTTACGCGACGATAAACAACATGCCTGCATCTTATTCAGACACGTTAGTGCACATAACATTTAAAATTGTGTTCAGTGTGTACTACGTCCGTACACCTCGTAACGTTGTGCTGATTTTAAAGTGATATATCAACATTCCCCATTCGTGCGTCGCTTATCATCGATTCCCACAGTACGTGAGTTCTGTAATATTTTTGACATTTATTGTAACCGCCACGAGAAGACTTATACAAAACTAATGCTGAACATTCATCATTCCTTCGATTCGAGTGAAGCATCTTAGCATGAACATCTATGTTTTGTGAAAAGTTACCCTTAAATCACTAAGAGGCTTTGGTAAGGCTCCTTTTTTTAGTGTAATAACATGTATTTGAAGCAGAATTAGTTGCATCGAACTTTCATGGTTGGTTTCTATGAACGCCTAAATTATATACTTCTTTTACGTGTTTTCAGCAACGTGTCGCATGGTCATAACTCCCTCCAGGTACAAATGAGTTTAGTTGAAAGGAATGCTTCTTGCATTTTAACCCCTTATTTGGAGTGTTACTCCGGTGAAGGGGGAAACAAATACATTCCTCTCTTCCCATGCAGCAGTGCGACGCTGTATTGAGCTAAATAAATTCTTTAAACGTACACAACAGATATTTCTTGTATGCAGACAAAGACGACCATCGACAAACATCACTATCGTATAGTGGATTCAATGCTAGTCACTCTAGCATGCACATGTGGCGTACTGTGTCTGAACAGTGGCGGTGAAAATTTGCAACACACTTATCTTGCGAGAAAAAAAAAAACACCTGTGCCAATCTTTTTATTGCCCGTTCTTGCACAAGTATAGTAGCTGCAACCATTCACAGATATTGGAGAACAGTGCAATGATGTGAGGAAATGTAGTATGATTTGGAATGAGCAGGAAACGTTTATTAGAAAAACAACAAAAGACAAAAACATGCATCACTCTTCTGGGCTTTAGTTTTATGCAAACACATTAGTGCATGCTGGCCAGGCGCCTGATTCAGAGTCTTTTTCACCATTTATAGTCCTTTCCGTAGCTGCGAGATCCACCTTTAACTCCAACGTAATCTCCACTGTATCCACCCTTGTAGCCTCCGCTGCTGTACGACTGTCCACCATCGTAATACCTTTGGCCGTAGCCACTTCCTCCATATCCAGCACTGCTATATCCACCACTGCCATATCCACCACCGCTGTATCCGCCACCGCTGTATCCGCCACCGCTGTATCCGCCACCGCTGTATCCGCCACCGCTGTATCCGCCACCGCTGTATCCGCCACCGCTGTATCCGCCACCGCCGTATCCGCCACTGCCGTATCCACCGCTACCATATCCACCACTGCCGTATTTTATGTTTCCACTCCCGTAGCTGACAATTCTTGAATAGGATTTTCCGTATCCACTATCGCCGTAGCTTTTCAATTCGCCGCCGTATCCACCTCCGTATGATTGGTAGCTACCACCGAACCCATATCCACCGCCGCCGTAGCCATCTCTTCCGCTTCGGTAGCTGGTTGTGTAACCACCATATCTGCCATAGTCACCTACACCACCCGCGTAGCCGCCGCCTCCACCACCAGAGTAATACCTCTTTGTGGCATATGCACCGCCATACCCACCACTGCCGTATCCACCATCATCGTATCCGCCACCGCCGACATATCCGCCACCGCCATAGACCCGCCGGCGCACCACGTATCCGGAGAGAGCCGGCCCGACGCAGACAGCAATCACGAGCCAGGTGAGCGCCTGTAGGAGACGAGATCAAAATTGTGCTTCAGCTTTCTTCCTTCCTTCCTTCCTTCCCCACACGTGAAACCCTCAAAAACCTAATCTTTTAAATGTGTATGTTTTGTAATTGACTGAGTAATCATGGAAAAGCAACACTCACGCAAGAAAACCACTGAATTACACTCAAACAAAGCATTTAACTCAACTAGAACCTAATTAGCAATATCAATACGTTTTTCTCTGGTTTGTTAGTTTGTTTTCTATTTATTACTTTTTTGTACAATATGTTCTCATTATAAATGAAACAAAACAAAAGCATGCTGTTTATATACTACATAGACCGTTGCTTCTATTATTTTTTCTGTATAGCCAGGCTGACCTATCCTGCATCTCCACCATGGCTTCACGAAACAGCGCCAGAGTCTCTGCATATAATGTTACCATCTCTAGCGTTAACAAGACAATGTTCTGTTGAAAACGTGGGTGCGTAGCCAAAGACAAGCACTGCATTCGTCTCTCTCTTTCGTTTTTACTTCTGCCATAGCTGAAGGTGAGTTCATACTTTTACACTCATCATCAGCAGTGATTATGTTAAGAGTAAAACGGGAATTTTATAGGGTGCTCTCTTCTTGGTATGTCGTCTCATGACTAGTTTCACGGCTGTGTGGAACCCAATGTAATTTTTTAATTGTTTAGCATGTAAAGTGACAAGGTAAAAAGTTTCTTTGGTAAAAAATGAATCATTCAGTAGAAAATAACAAAAATTTACTCGCAGTGACTGGTGGAAGCTTATCATATCATGTTTAGATATTGTGGGGTCTTCGATTTTCAACATTGTTTTAATAAATCAAAAAGATGACGTTATTCACTAAACACAAATTTAAACCTGCTACAATATTCATGCCATTGTCTCTTCCGCGTTCCTCTTTTCAGGCAATTAGGCAAACTTGTGCGTCCTTTAAAAACACCTACCATGCCGGCAAACAATAGGGAGCCTTGGGCCTCCCACTACTCAACACAACGACCTGAGATAAATGTCAATTCCAACGAACCACAGGCTGTTTTTACAGCGCACCGAGTGCAATAGGTCATGACTGCTTATGGTTCTTGCATTACTTTGCATGTCTCACCCACAACATAATTACAAGTAGCAGAATTCCTGAAGGTGTAATGAGGAAGTCCACCCTGCAGAAGTATACTTAGCTCTTCATTATGGAAGTAATGCTATTTAAAGCCTGAATAGACTGTCAGATGATTACACAAGACCAAATTAAGTGAAATGAAGGACAGCATTTCTCGGGGAAGCAGTTATTCCCATGAAAGTTGGGTTTCTTTATGTTATTTTTGAAGCTTTTCAGGAGTTTGCAAAAACAAGAGAAACTGAAAATTTGGCTGATGTCAAAAGCTAAGCTGGCCAGCTCACGTGCAGTCACATTGAACGTAATGCTTCTATGTATGTGTTTTGGGTGCAAGGTACTTTGAGTTCTCCAATACTTGTAGCTAGCCCATGTATAGTATGTAAAGTAATTTGCTCTAACTGTTCATTACGTGGATGGTACCACAGCTAAGAACCAAAATATCATGAGTTTTCAGAAAAATGTGGGATACACAGTATACTAAGGCGTCTTTGGCTGCCACAAATACCGTTTGTACTAAACGTCGCCACTTTTATTAGAGGGAGGTATACATACATAGACAAAATAAAACAACAAAAATACCACACCACTAAACTGCAGTGTTTTTTTGTGCAAGGGCCGTGCACGGTTTCGTAATATAAAATACAATGAAGTGCAGATTATACTCGCAACTCTGAGTAGGCTATCTGTTTTTGTGGTGTCCTGCACATTGCATGCACAGACATCCTACTCACTCGCTGCGAAAAAAAAAATGTACACTTTTGTCTCGTAAAGCATGCACTCTCTAGATGATGATTTTTAATATCAGCGAAAGAAAAGTAGTTATGACCTGCACATTACTATTTACAGGAAGTCACCGCCACAACTTGGCCCGTTTATGTTTGCGAAAAGAGGTTTTCTGTAGAAATAGTACTCGCTGAGAAAAGCTACACATTTCCCGCTAATGTGCGTTCTTATAATTGTCATGCGTACGAAATCTGACGTCGTCAAAAGCGATATTGAGAGCGACCTTGGGATAGCGTTTCGCGGGATTAACATGTTCGAGACAACGTAACCATAACTCAAGCAAACTTACGAATAATTTTATATACGAGTTCTTGTTGGTTCTATCTTTTCCGGACAGTCCTCACAGGACACCACTTTAAGCAAAACCCAACCTATACCGACTTTGTAGCATGAACATCTCGAACTGTTAACGTGCACCCCGGCATTAGGCTAAGCACACTTTGCAGTTGGACGACTGAAGTGTTTCAAAGAAGCGCATTTGAGAAAATTATCCGTGCAAAGCATCCTTTTGGACACGCACTGGTCAGATCATATGCGTCTCGAAAAGGACAAGGGATGTACATTGCCCGAAGAAAGCCTTACCTGGCCTCCCATCCTCGTTGTTTGTGTCGTCGCTCGTGCGGAATTTGCACAAGTGCACAAGAGCGCGACCCGAGTGACAACAGGCCCGCTAAGCGTTTTGCTGAAGCCTTTTATGCGTCTTCCGTGGCCTTCGAGCTGTGCGAATGCCTCGTTGCCAGGTGCATTCGTTACTAAGCAGAGATATCGACTCGCGCCGATTGCCCGCCTGTCCCCATCCCTGGATGGTAACCTTCCTGCCAACGCACCTAACGTCCTCGATTGCCGCAATAGTTACGTGCACCGCTCGATCGCTCTCCAAGGAAGTAATCGCATAGCTTCTGCGAGACCGGATGTGGTGGGAAGATTGGTCTGCTTTCTTAGTATATACTACATGCGACTACCACGCCCATTACGCATTATCGCAGACACTCTATATCTATCGATTCATTCACGGATGTCTAAATGTGTGAGTGGGTGCGCAGCAAAAGTGCGACCAGTTCCTCTCCGAGAACGAGAACGCCCTTTAGTTTTCAGCCAGGCTGTTTTAATCATTTCTCTCGACACGGCCGCTCAGACTGTACGGTAGTGCCGTGAATAATGGCGTGAGGCACGAAAACACGTGCGCTTATTGCAGCATCTCGACAGTATGCGAACACAGCCGTCCTTAGGTATACACATTGTTTAGGAATAGTAAATGCAGCGAATTGGGTGACATCGCGGATGATGTTGGCATTGGTTTAAGACGACGGAAGTCGCGAGGAACATAGGAACTTCTTTTACGGGGCATATGGTATATCTACTGGATGAATCCTCCGTCAAGCTTAATGAAGCCAATTGATTAGAACCATTTTGACACATTATGCAGGTGAAAGAGCGCTCAAGTGCCACTGAAAAACATCTCAGTGATAAGAGCACAATTAGGGCTCACTCTAAAGCATGCCCTTATGCCGTGGTTTTCCTTCAACTGCACGCTTCTTCCGGCCGCAGCGTGAACCAGTCGGCCACTTGTCTCGCCTCCAAGAAGGCGTGCGCTCGAAAGGGGCTGCCGCAGTGGCTAATTAGCCCAGGTACGGTAACGAACAATGACGCAGCGATTGACGAACGTGAGCGGCAATGATTTCGCACGCAGGCAGCGTCGTAGCAATTTGCCGCTTCCCTTTCGAAAGCGGGTCGTAAGTGTTTGTGGCGTCGCGTGTTTGTTTTTGTCGCCCCTGCTGTCCCTCTGGCGGCAGTTGTTTATTCCAGGTACTTCGCCGTCTGTGGGAAGAACGCCGTCCGCAAACAAGTGCGCCGTGCCTGGTAGGTAGTAGAGCCGCGCGCTCAGCGAGGCCGTTAGCGCGGGGCCGTTCGCGTCCTTGAAGTTTAGGCATTGGACCTCCGAGCAGAATTGTTAGGGCGTTTAACGCCATGTCCGACGGCTGGTCCTACGTGCATTCCAGTATTTCTCAAGTCAGTGCCAGAGCCAGTTTCGAGCTGGGACGCCCACGATAACGAACGGCAGCGGTGTTAGATGCGGCATCATGTGGTTATGCATCGATAGCGATCAGCGTCCAACCTAAAGCGCCAGCGGTCTTATCTCTATAACGGAATACGCGTCGGAAATTAATTGGGGATGGTTGCAGCTGCTTTGTGTGAACATGGAAGAACATGCAGGCGGAGTGATAAGGGAGGTGACATTGTAAGTGTTGTGGGGTGGCTTGTGTCAAGTGAGAATTTATGACTTCTCTGCTAAATGTTCTGCGCTAAATAACTGTCCTCCCCTTTCCCGTTCCTACGTGTGCGGTAGCAAACCAGTTTTCTGAATTGGTTACTCTCCCTGCCTTTCCTTATTTACCTTTTCGTGTTCTTGTCTTGATTACGTAGTGCTCGAAGCAATGTTATTTGCTTTCCCGCACAACAGGTCTAATGCCTTCTCGACTAACGCGATACACTACAACTTTAAATATTGCGCTGCCTTCACAAACAGTATACCCCATTCGTACTTGCTCTCCTATGAAAATCATCCACTTTCTGTTGAATATGAAGGTTCAGCGTCACTTAATTGCATCTACTTTATCAAAACTCAAGTTCCCATTATCTGAAAAGTTGGCTCGAGCACTTATCAGGTCGTATCACGCAACCTTATGTTACATTTCTTGCACAGAAGTAATTAAGGCCCACTATAACTTAATTTGAAGCCAAAATTAGTCATCGTTACCTTCTTGTACTGTAGAGTTCGCGTATCATAGTTACGTAATTAAACATTTAAAGCACCTCGTTTGTTTTCTGAAGCTCTCTGGCCTCTGCCTTGTGAGATCACTGTCCTGGCTTGTTTCTTGAATGAACCATTATTATCCCACAGATACCTTTCCATTTCGTAAAGAATTAATAATTGATTGATTGATTGAATAATACGTGAGGTTCGACGTCTCAAAACCACCATATGATTACGAGAGACTCTGTAGTGGAGGGCTTCAAAAATTTTCACCACCTGGGGCTCTTCAACGTGCACCTAAATCGGAACCAAGGGCCTGAAGCATCTTCGCCTCCACCGAAAACGCAGCCACCGCAGCCAGGATTCAAACCCGCAACCTGCGGGTCAGCAGCTGAGTACCTTAGTGACTAGACCACACCGGTGGGGCCGTAATGAATCAATAAACGATATACTTTCAAATAAGGACTCACAGACCACTAAATGTATAAAATAATCTCTTATCTATCTTTCTCTTCGAAAAGCTATTCATTGTCATTTTCATTCGCTGAAGGCCCCGAAAATGAGTCATATTTTTTTAAGGGTCTTGAGGAATCAGCAACAGCTCTGATTAATACAATTAGGATGCCACCAGCGTACACCCCTGCGTGTACGTTCGAGAGCATTAAACGAAGAAACACCTACTTCAATCATTGTCAGCGACTACTTCAAATGTATTGATATGAATGTAACGTATTGAATTGCATTGAATACCTTTCCGCTTGAGCATCTTTAGCTGTGTGAATACCTTTACTCTTTCGAACGGCGTTGAGACAATCATGGCCTCTAAAAAGTCATTAAAATGTTCCCTCTCATACTCTCGTATCACCCCCCTCCCTTTTTTGTATAGTACATTTCATATCTCATAAGGAACAAACAGGCAGAGCAGCTGTCGGCAGTGAACACCCAAACCAACCAACCAATCACCCAACCAGCAAACTTTGCACCTTGTCCTCTCGAAATTCATGATAGATTATTTTTTTATTCATTGTATAGCTATACGAAGTTGGATTCCTGAATCCAAAACTTTTTGGTCCCCAAACTTGCATCACTCGCGCTGCCGTAATTCCTCTGAGCGCCTCAATTACCCCGTCTTCTTCTTCTAGCAAATAACTCGCTTCCGCATTACTCGTGGCGAAGTACTCAAGTTCTATTTTTATAAACACCAAGATAACTGCATAAACAACTTAGCAGTAAAGATAATTTATGGCGGTATTAATTGCGAAATTGACAAGCCATGAATAGTGGTTGTTTTATTCATTGCACATACGTACGTACAAGTGTCATAGGTGCCAAACTGCATGCAACTGTCAGCCTCATGGTCTACGTTTTTTTTTCTAGACTTTTTTATACTCGTAACTTTCATTCATTAAACTAAGACAACGCAAAAGCTCTCCTATTATAATTAAAATACTTAGCCTATTTATGAAATGTAGCTGATAAACTTTCGGCTGAGATAGCGTAGAACTACGAGGCAAAAAATATTTAGACCAAGCAGGATATTTTTAAAGGCTCCCTACAACAGTTTTTGAGCATAATAAAAAAACGCTGCTCATTGATTGTCGAGGCTATGGAAAACTAGTGAGCCGAATATTATAGCGCTAGATGTTCCCAGTAACTTACAATTAATTTTCAAATGTCAGGTAGGGATCGCTCACTTTTCGCTCGACAAAGGATGCTATGCATGTACCCAAAGTATTGCGTCATATGCCCTATGTCCACTGCCATTGGCTCACTTGAGCCCTGTGAGCTGCATAGTTATCGTGGCCGCCGCCGTGTGCCGTAACGTGCCCGCGCGCTTGGTCGTGGTCACACGGAAAGAAAATTCAGAGCTGAATCGAATACTAATAAAATACGAATATGAATTTAAAACCACTGCAAGAGGCTTCCAATACATTGTCAATTATTTTAAAAGCAGCAGTTGTATGTTAATCTATAGTCAATTTCCAAACAGCCGAGGGACTCTATATAATTTTCTTTTAAAAATACACTCAAAAGCTTTAACAAAGGAACTTAACGATTACTTCTAACCGACAAAAATAATATGTCATAGTTTCATAAACTGTTGAAATATCGTATATAGTACAGCCTTAAAAACACTTAGTAATGGCAGTTTGAAACACAGGAGTTATAATAGTATTGAGACTGGCACTTTGTGAACACCTTTTCAATAAAAGCGATACACAAATATCACGCAACAATTATCAGTAAACATAATGATGAATGCTATGATGAAGATAGTGAATTGATGACTCTGTCAGTTTGGTGACAGTTGTGTTTTGGGTAAAAAACCTTCATGCTTATCGTGATAGCTCATATCGTCCCGTAAAACTTTGGGATACGTGAAACTTAGTAATTGGATTATTGAAACATGAGACTTTACCCTTCTTTGTTTGAAGATGTTTCGTTCCTTTGATGTTTTTTTTCATTAGTGGTTCTTATTCGAAAATTATTCTAAATATACTGGGCATTTAAAACATTCCCCGATTCGAGCACCGATTTGAGCAGAACGTTACTTGTATAATTATTCAAAAGTTTCAAATATTCACGAACCCCTACTTTTTGCCCCTTACGCTCTCTCCTCCCCTCTCTCTCTGCTCTTCTTCCAGTGGACGTATAGGTACGACAAAATACAAAAAGCGCTTAAAGCCGGTGGAAAATCTCTAAGCAGTACTCGCTGGATTCTATACAATGTGGTGGCACTCAATACGTGGAAAAATAGAGTTCTTCCAATGGAGCCATTCAATGATTATTTAGAAAAGTGTTGCAGGACCCCGTGTTGCTGTCCTGTAAGTACTAAAAACATTATATGATGACAGTGTGTTGCTCGTAGGCGTTGCTCGTAAAGGAGCATCAACGACACTGGAGTTCATTTCAAATAATTCTGA